GAAAATCCATCGTAGGGGCTAGAACACCAATAACGAAAATCCCTCCTAGAAGCAAATTGAGATTCCCTCAACATAAGAGGAGGGCAACAATGTTTTCTGATTCCCTCTATGACAACAAGCGGCAAAACCCCAAAATGGGAGCATGCTGAGCAAGAGCGTCAGCCATAGAATGATTCTTATTCTGGACATATGGTATAAACAAGGATAGCAGAGCCGGGGTGTCTATCCCCAACCACGTATCTTCCTAAAAAAAGTTTCCCTCTCCTCCCATCCAAACAACAGACAAATAAAGACAGGAAAGGATACTCTACAACTATAACTTTCCAAGGAGATCTGGAAGTGGCATCAATCCACTCAAGGTCCATATTTACTCATGATGAACCTCTCGAGTGATTTTATCATGTCTGTAGTTTCTACCTGGCAGCAGCTACTTCTTTTCAAACAAACTGTTAGGTTGCTTGCATTTTAGTTCATATGATCTATTAAGTCACCTGGCTTGTTTTCTTGTAACACCCTATTTTGTTTCCTTGTAACATGGATTTTTCTTTTCAAAACGAACTGTTAGGTTTCCGTTTTTTTTTTTTTTTCTTTTTTTATTGGTTCTTCATTACAAAGTGAGCTCCTTGTAATTTCTCTTGGGGATTTCTGTGTTTTTGTATGGTTGGTCTCTCATTGCATTTTCGTTCTCTTTTATGCCAGAGCATTTTTAATTAAAAATTGCGGAATTGTTGGTAACTAGATAAGAAAAGGGATTAATACATAACAGTTAACAAATATTGTAGATTATCCGATTCAGCAAGATTGGAGAGTAGTTTTCTCGTTGTGGGTGTTAGATTGATTACAGGCAAGCTGATAGCACGTAGGGAGCAACATTTAGTGTTCTAATACAGGAAATAATATTGTTGAAAGGGAAGTGGGAATGAACAACAGGTAGATGACTGGAAAGCTATTAAGACTATGATGAGGTTTCCTTTGAATGCGCCTTTTCTAATCAGCAGCATGGTAGCATGAGTAATCAAGTACAGTCAATTTTTTGGCTGGAATTATATCACGATATTTTTCTTATCTTCTTATACAGGTGTCCACAGTCACAGATCAGCCTGGACTGCAAGATATTGGAGCAAGTACAGGAGACCTTGACGATGAAGATGGTGTTGGCTTGGTAAATAAGTCTTCTATCTTTGTTCCCTTCTCTCTCTCTCTAACAAAAGAAGCAAAGTTCTATCGCATCATTAATTAAAAAAAATCACCAAGAAAGTTGAGAGTTACGGATTTATGTCGAGTTGTAAGAGTACCTGAGCCATTGCTTCTATTATTGTTTGGAAGATTACACTTGTATTTATTTTTTTGTTCGTTCTTTCTGCTTTGTTAATGTTCAACCTGGTTTCTTGGACATGATCCATCGACAAGTAGCTTCTTAGCTCTTTCTTACTCCTTCATTTTCGTTATTTTTTTAAATATCATTTATTTGGTTTAGTCCATTGTTATTTGAATGGACCATTAGAGAATGAAGATTGGTATTTCTACCTCGATATGTGTTATTTTTATTTTTTTTGTTTTTTTAATTTTTAACACTAAGCTCTATTCTTAGAGAAATATTTAAGGTCTGTTTGGTAAGCAATCTGCTACCAAACACATATTTGGAAACATGAAATCTAACTCTATCTTCATCGAGTCCATTCTTTTCACATCTTTGTTTTCAGATTGACTACCAAAGAGGTAAGTTAACAAATATTTATCATTATTATTATTATTTTTTAAAGTTTGTGCCTGCGCAAGGGCCAAGCTCTAGAGATATCAAGACTTTTTCTTCATGTTTTATTTATGGTCTTTGGCTGTGGTGATACTATTTACATTTTTTTTTCTTTCTTTCGGGAAGTTTATTTTCTTGCTTCTGAATGTAAAAACTTAAGACATACGAGGTAAAGTGTAATAGTAACTACATTTATCATGAATGTTATCTACCGTTCTTTACACTTACCCCAAAGCTTTTGTAAGTTTCTGGTGCAAACTTTTGGTTAAGATTTCTTTGTGTATGCGTTAGCTGCTACATTAACAAAAGTGTTTTCAATTTTTCAGTCCTTAAATGCTAGTTCTCGAGCATCCCTGATGCAGAAACTGGACCGTACTGGCACTGCATCTAGGTTTGTGTTTGTTGAGCTTATTTTCATCTGAAAAGTTCCAATAAAAAATCATTTGAAGTTTGCATGTTGGTCTTATATCTGTTTCTCTGCAGCATTGCTGGTTCTTTAGGTACACATGTCGTAAATAACACAGGCGCTACCATGGCAATGGCGCCAATCCTTGGAGTTGGAACTATCCCTTCCCTAGGTGTTGCTACTTCTTTGGTCTCCGTCCCTGCTTTTCCTGGACTTGGTGCAGCAGGCGTTCAGGTTCCCACTGTTGCTGCTAATTTACTTGGTGTTGGTACTCCAAGTGAATGCTTACTATTGAAGAATATGTTTGATCCTACAGCTGAGGTATACTACATCATTCTAAAGATCTCCGTTAAATTTTCTGTTTATGTTTTACCTTTAATTCATTATCCCTTATGTTCGGCAGTTGGAACCCACTTTTGATATGGATATCAGAGACGACGTGGAAGAGGAATGCTCTAGGTTCGGAAAATTGAAACATATATACGTTGACAAGTAAGTTTAGGACTTTAAATGTAACACCTGCTCATCGACGGCTCGATTCACAAGAGTTACCACTGACATAGATAATTTACGTCAAAAACCAGTCAAAAACCGATAACATTTTCATACCTAACGAGTAAAATATGTGAATCCAGTATTTTTTACAACACAAAAATAACCAGAGCAAGTTTCCAACAACGAAAGCATATGTACATAAAACAGTACTCGACTCACATGTTTTACTTGTTATGTATGAAAATGTTTTGGGTTTTATGATTCGTTTTTGAAGTAAATTATCTATCTCAATGGTAACTCTTGTGAATCGAGCTGCGGGTGTTTCAAGTTCATGAAATTGCATTACATATAGCTTTTAACAACTCCCCATTTCCTGAAACGTAGCTTCTTCATTTCTTCTTCATGGACAGGAATAGTGCCGGTTTTGTATACTTGAGATTTGCAAATTCAGAGGCTGCAATGGATGCACAACGTGCCCTTAATGGAAGATGGTTTGCTGGGAAAATGATCGGCGCAACTTTCATGGTAATTCTTTGGTCATTGTCTTTACCTTATCTGTTAGAACAACGATTCTAACTTTTTAAGGAATTTCTTTTATATCTTCAGGACATCCCGAGCTACGAAGCGAAATTTCCAGACAGCAGATAGTACTCGAGATTAGTTCGAATGCTCTATTCCGAAACAGTAACTCGCCTGTTGAACCATAGTGAGATTATTCTACCGTGGCTATAAAAGGTGCTAAGGTCAGAAGATGATTCGTATGTCTTTGAAAGGTACACCGTTTACAATTAACAAGCACGATGACCTTGCGAAAGAAGACAATATTTGCTCGTTCAATATGAATATTGAAAAGTTGATTGTAGTTTAGCTAAGATACAACCCTTTTGTACGCGTTCTATCAAGAGTTTATATCTAAACATGATTTGACCTAGGAAATTCGGTGCGAACTCATCAGCCCGCTCGATTTACGTCCTAGGATACTTGCAATGTTGTAACGCTGTTAATGTTAAGGATATTATCTTATGCTTATGAGATTTCAAACTTGATGGCCTGAATGGCTTGACCTTTTTCTATGTAGAAATTGGACTTGCAGCCTAAGCATCAGATCTGCAAGAATCCTGCCTCTGGTTTGTCATTTTCCATTCAAACACGAATATTTATATAAAATATTGCAGGGCAGTACAGAAAAGATGGCTTGCATCTGCTTGCCATATCTTCCAAATTTATTTAAAATATTCATGTGAAACATCTTCAAATTTGAATTCTCTTATTGATTTTATTTCTTGGAGAACAAGCATCAATTTTAACCATTATATTCTAAGAATTTAAATTGGTCATGAAAGGTAAGATTAAAGTTGACATGAAGCCAATGAATCATTTTTTTTTTCAATTGATTTGAATCAATCTACTCTTGCATTAAATCATATCAATTTTTGTTATAGCGTGTTTATTGGTAATGACGTCCCACGTTGAATTAAATAGAACATGAATTTGAAGTTAAAATTGTTAGATGAACACAACTCTCTATATGGTATGATATTGTCCACTTTGAGCATAAACTCTCATGACATTAGACAATGTGGGACTTTCATCATTCAACACCTCCCCTCGAACAAAGTACACCTCCCCTTAATCGAGGCTCGACTCCTTTTTCTTTTGGAGTCTTTTGTTCGACATTTGAGAATTTACCAATCTACTGGAATGATGGCTCTGATACCAAGTTAGATGAATGCAATTCTCAACAATGGTATGATATTGTCCACGACTAAGTTTTAGGGCATGACTTTGATACCAAGTTATCTGAACACAATTCTCCACAATGATATGATATTATCCACTTAGCCATGATCATTCTCTAAATTAGCCCATGTGAGACTTTCATCATCCAACAAAATTTAGGGTAAATTTTCGCCATAAAATTTGAGTTTCATATCTATCTAGTTTATGATCTATTCTAATGTTAAGTGGTCTCTTTAACCGTTAGTTAATTAAATGAAAAATAATATCGTAGTTAAGTTGTGATTCTATTTCTCGACTTGACAATATAATAATTTAATATTTACTTTTGATAGCTGAGCTACGAGCTGACATTGCCCTTTCCCCATTCTTCAATGGATCATGCCCGTGTAAGTAAAAAATAAAATAAAATAATATATCACTATTTGTATTTTTCAATCAATATTTATTATAAAAGAATATTTAAACTTTGCGTAAAATAAAATAATATATAGTTTAATAAGAAGTAAAATATTGAATGAAATTAGAAGATATCATCTTCACCGTACACGTGCCATGCTCAAACTTTAATGGAGGCGGCTGTAGGATAATAATAATATAATGATCGTCGTTGGACCGGCCGCCGCGGTTCCATTTTTCAATCACTAAAGAGTTTCTCTCCGTCAACGATTCTTCCAAGAAGGTCAAATTTCAATCCAGACGAAGACTTGCTGATCTAATGGCTTCCGTCTGCAACATTTTCCACCATACCGCACTCACTTTTCTGCATATATACTCGCTATTTGTTGCCTCTTCTTTCCCAAAAACCAGGAACGAGGAACGGGTTCGTTTTGGATTTGATTTTGCAGCGAGTGAATAGAAGGATATGGAAAATGTGGTTGATGTTCTGATTGTGGGAGCTGGAATCAGTGGTCTCACTACTGCATTGGGACTTCACAGGTGAGTTCTCTGTTACTATTGTGTGTGAATATGAATCCATGGTTCGTTCTTCTTCTTCTTAATGCTTATGATTTGAGCTTAAATCGTGCAGATTGGGTATTCGAAGCTTGGTTTTGGAGTCGTCGGATGATTTGAGGATCACTGGGTTTGCGTTATCGTTATGGACGAACGGCTGGAAGGCGTTGGATGCAGTTGGAATTGGCGATTCACTTCGCCAAATCCATGACCAACTTGAAGGGTAATCAATGATCGTCAAGCTCTCAATGCTCTTTCATTTTGTTGTTTTCTTTAATTCTTGTTTTGGAGACCTGATTTTGCCTTCAAATATGCTTGCACTCAAGGTGTTTGTTCTTTTGCCAGTTTGAAAACACTTCGAATGAGTGAGAATTATACCTGTAGGAGGCTAGACTGAATTCTTGATTCTCTTAAATGGACTCAACTATTCTTTAGTTCAATTAATTCTAATACCAAGAAAATTTCTCTCAGTTCATTTTCTGCCAGTAAATGTACTTTAGTTCACAGCTTTACGTAAATGTTTGTAAGTTCTGTTCATCCTGCTTTACTGATTTCAAAAGACAGTCATTATATCAATGTAATGGTGTTATGTAATAGAATTGATCACTATTGTTGTTATTTGTCTCCAACAAAATGCAGGATTATAACTACATCAATGATTTCTGGGCGTAAAACTTCAGAGCTGTTGTTTTCGGCTCCCGAAGAACGGTCAGTAAGACGTTTTTCGATTTTATAGCTAGGAACAGTATAATTGTTGTGCTGAATTGGAGTTTTGTTGAGATGTATGAGCTTGTTTTGGTGGGCAGTGGAGTTCGCTGTGTCAGAAGAAAGTTCTTGCTAGAATTTCTGGCCAAGGAACTTCCCATTGGAACCATCAAATTCTCCTCCAAGGTGGTTTCCATTGAGGAGTCTGGTTTGCTTAAACTTGTGCATCTTGCTGATGGAACCTCAATCAAGACCAAGGTAAATTGTGTCTCTTATTTCTCAGATTCTGATCCATCTTTTGTATTGATTTGCATCATTTTAATTCTGTTAGTTTTGATTGAAAAGGTGCTAATAGGATGTGATGGAGTGAACTCGGTGGTGGCAAAATGGCTAGGCTTCAAGGCACCAGCTTTCACAGGGAGATATGCTGTAAGAGGCTGTTTAGAACTCAAGTCCAGCCATGGTTTTGAACCAAAGATGAGCCAATTTGTCGGTGAGGGAGTACGAGCTGGTATCATCCCGTGCAATGACAAGACTCTTTATTGGTTTTTCACTTGGACCCCCTCAGCTGAAGGTGAGTACACAATGGTTAGATCACGTACACAATTGTCTGAATTTAGTCCCTATTATTTCAATATATCTTAAAAGTAGTCCCCATCTTTAGTTTTGTGAACTTATCAAGTTGGGTTGGATAAATCTAGTCCCAGTACCGACAGAGCGTGAAAATCAAATGTTGAGAATTGTTAGGAGGGAGTCCCACATTGACTAATTAAGAGGATGATCATGGGTCTACATCTCCATTGGTATGAGGTATTTTGGGGAAACCAAAAGCAAAACCATGAGAGCTTATGCTCAAAATGGACAATATCATACCATTATAGAGGTTCGTGGTTCCCAACATGGTATCAGAGTCATGCCTTTAACTTAACCATGTTAGTAGAGTTCTCAATGTCAAACAAAGAAGTGGTGAGCCTCGAAGGTGTAGTAAAAAAGTGACTCAAGCATCAAACAAAGGGTGTACTTTGTTCGAGGGCTCCAGAGAAAGGAGTCGAGTCTCAATTAAGGAGAAGCTGTTTGAGGGCTCTATAGCCTCAGGAGAGGCTCGATGATTTACTTTGTTCGAGGGGAGGATTGTCGAGGATTGTTGAGAGGGAGTCCTACATTGGCTAATTAAGAGGATGATCATGAGTATATAAGCAAGGAATACGTCTCCATTGATATGAGACCTCTTGGGGAAACCAAAAGCAAAGCCATGAGAGCTTATGCTCAAAGTGGACAATATCGTACAATTGTGGATGTTCGTAGTTCCTACACCCAAAACGCCTTGTAATTATTTACCTTCGTCACGTTGCAGAGATTGAAATGAGTGAAAATCCAGCAAAACTGAAGCAACTTGTACTAAGCAAGCTTGGAGAGATGCCAGGAGAAGCAAGGGCAGTGATTGAAGAAACTGATGTAGCTTGTTTTCAACCAGCAGCATTGAGATACAGACCTCCATGGGAGCTGATGTGGGGCAACATTGTGAAAGGCAATGTGTGTGTGGCTGGTGATGCGCTGCACCCAATGACCCCAGACCTCGGCCAAGGTGGGTGTTCTGCTTTGGAAGATGGGGTTGTTTTAGCCAGATGCATTGCAGAAGCCCTGCTGAAGAAACCCAGCAGCCCTGAGGAGGAGGTCCTGCTGCTCGAGATGGGGCTTAGGAAGTACGCTGCCGAGAGGAAATGGCGGAGCATCGACCTGATCAGCACAGCATATATGGTGGGAAGGCTGCAACAGAGCAGTGGGGTGTTTGCGAAGTTCTTCAGGGATAAGATTTTGTCTCACTTTCTGGTTGGCCTCTTGCTGGGAAGAACAAACTTTGACTGCGGGAAACTGGCCCCTTCTTCTTTGTAGCCAACCAATCTCATTGTCACTTATTTCTTCTTCTTCTTCTTCTTCTTCTTCTTCGTCATGTATTTTTATTTTGTGTAAAATTTTAGAACTTTGCTTGTGTGCAAATATGTAGAGTTTGAATAAAACAACGGCAAGTGCAGGACTTGCTTCTGCACTCATGTAAAGGTAGGTAGGCGACGGATTCTGTTCATTTAACTTGCCGAGTTTAAGTTCTACTGCTTCGAATAGGTCATGATATTTCTGTTTAAATAGGAATGGAGAAGATTTTTTCCCGCAACCTATATGGGGTCAGGGTCAGGAATAGGGATAGGGATTATATTCGCCGTCCTCGGGTCATGGTATCCCTGTTTAAATAAGAATAGAGAAGATTTTTTTCCCGTAACCTAAATAGGGTCGGGGCCAGGAATAGGGACAGAGTTTATATTCGCTATCCTCGGGTCATGGTATCTCTGTTTAAATAGGAATGCAGAAGATTTTTCCTCGTAACCTAAATGGGGTCGAGGCCAAGAATAGGGACGTGGATTATATTTGGCGTCCTCAACCCTGTGATCCTTTTATAAGTTACGATTTTAGTTCTTTAAGCTCTTGAAAATAGTTTAAATTTTTAAAAATGTGAGGCGGGGTCAGATGCGTTTTAAAAATGTGAAGCTGACGTCAATACGTAATATAATAGACAATATTTATTAGTGGTGGACTTGGACTGTTATTGACATTATCTGCTAACTGTTTCTCTATTCACTTAAGAGTCCTATAACGACCAACACAAACTGCAGCATTATTGATCAATTTGAGTCGGGAAATCACTACGAACTATTTATTAAAAAAATTCTAGACAAAAAAAAAAAAAAACTTGGGAGGGAGGAAAAA